CAAGTTATCTTCTTTCACAATCTATCGATAAAACTATCGACAACAACTACAAAACTATTTAAAATTTTGTGAAAACTGGCAACCCTACAAATGCCATTTTACTCCGTCTTAAAAAAAGACAGACTATAGTTGTATGTTAGTTATGATAAAAGGGCAGAATAGGCACCGGCGCTTTGAGCCAAAGAGCCATGCGGCACGCGTGAGTGCAAGGTAGATTATATGGATAAATCTTGTTACCCAGCTGAGGACCCCGACCTTCGCGATACCACGATCTAGAGACGTGGTGAAGTTCACCGCGGCCCACGACAAGGCCACAAGTGGGCGTGGGAATTACCTAAATATGGGTTGATTTTTACAATGGTGGGAATTGTCAGCCTTTTAAACACGTGTCACGAAAGCTTGGAATGAGGGGCTCAATGTACTCTTGAATAATAAAACAACGTGTGTTGTTACAACGTATCGTACTTTGGTATAATGAAGCCATACGTCAAAGTATAATACGAACTACATTAAACCAGGCACACGACTTGTTCGTCCCGTCTCTTGGTTACATAAAAAAAAACTTGTTTTTGATTAGAGTATATCGGTATTTGATTTTCAATTCGGGACTTAACCACGTATAACCATTGACTTACAATTATGTGGACGTCGGGTCCGCGCTAAAAAGTGTCCGCACTTGTAAGGCGCTAAAATCGTATACAGAGCGCCAAACTCCGCTTTAGTCTTCATTTGTTCGACTGACAGCGCGATACTGCGATGACATTACAATTTAAATTTCGAATAGGACAGAACGAACTTGTTGGGTGTCTGGTACTAAACTACACGCCTGTCCGTAACAGTTGCAGTGCACTCAGAGCTTTAAATTGCTTTAAATTGCTGCTAATCTGAGGTGCACTGCTTCTGCGCTCATAGCCCTGAGACACAAGTCGACAAGTACCATGTGCCTGTAATTTCACCAAAACCCTTACCTATCAAAATCGGAACGCAGTAATGGTTACATTACTGCTTGGCGGCAGAAATAGGTAAGATTGACCAACTCTTTCTAAGGGAATTATTCGTTTTATGTCTTAAAATTTTATTAACATAAGCCGTGTTTACCGTTACGCTCTTGTTAAAAAGGACACAACCAATGCCCATCAAAAAAAGTATGGTTTTTTGCCTCTGCTTTAAAGTGTTGAATTGGAGTTAGTCCCTTTGTCACTGGAGGCAGTGTACATAAAGTACCGTAGCAGAACTTGTGGAATTTTCCTCATAGAGATTTTCCTGTGTGACTCAAACTAGGTTAAAACAAAACGGCATCAACAGCTGAAATGATTCAAAGTTCGTTAAAAACTACTTTTTGAATTTTATTAGGTACATAAACTTGTTACAGTATACATGCTATCTTTGTCTTCTTCAATAAATCTTTAAAGGAACAAAACGACAAGTTGTCTGTTGCGAATTATTAACCAATTATAACATAGTAAAGGGGCGCGTGTGACCAATCGCGTCTAGTGGAACAAACGGAGTGCTTAGAACTGTGCCTTTATATATTTATGGAAAAAGATAATTAGTCGCTTTTAGTAGTACCAGTTTTCCTCGTCATTATGGAACAATACGAAAAGTTATTTAACTAAAAATATATTAGTAGTTATTCGTTAAACTTGCATGTATTTTTGAGTTCAGAGAAATTGTACTCATAAAAATGTCCGATAGATAAGATTGTGCCTTCAAAAACAATAAAAAAAAAACAAGGTTAGGAAACTAATAGAGACATGTCGTTTTGATATATGATGTAATCGGACACACTGAAAGCAATGGGACAATAAAAACCAAACGGGCACAGGTCGTCTTATTCCGTTGTTCATTGGAGACACTGATCTAACAATGTCCGACGTCTGCTGAATCTTTTCATCATCGCTACCAAAACCCTTTTATACTTCCCACTGTAAGTGGTAAGCGGGGTAAGTAAGTAACGCCTGTCCATAACAGTTGCAGTGCCACTCAAGAGCTTTAAATCGCATAGATCTGCGGGGAACTGCCACTGCACCCGTCACCCTGAGACATAAGTTGACAAGTCCCATGTGCCTGTAATTTAACCAAAATCTTTATGCTCAGATGCGTTCGGGGAAGCGTTCCGGGCGCGGCAATTTACAAAATATTTTTCCGCGTTCCATCATAAGGTGGATAATGACATAAAGTCTAAGATTGATCTGCTGGTGCCCACGCGTATACCTTGGGGTGATAAGGGTGCGGTGGCCCTGCGTCGCCGGCCGCGGCTCTTATGCAAGCCCGTTACTCGTACGGCACATGCCGCAAACGCGCCTACCGTTCGCGCTATAGGACATACTTACTCAGTATGATCACATTGACATATTCGCTGATAGCGTTGAATATATATGTAGGGAGAGTTGTAAATTTTTAGATTTAGAATAGTTTAGTAATACTATAATTAAATATATTTATAATTATCTGTTTATGACATGTAAGCGTGTTGGTTATTTAGCTGTAAGTTTACAATGTAAATGAATAAATAAACCATACGCCGCCGGCCGCCCCTGCGCGGCCAAAGCATAACCCTACAAAACCGGAACAAAGTAATACTGACATTACTGTTTGGCATTACATTACACAAAAACAGGTAGCACAACGGGCAATGGAGCGCACCATGGTCAGCATTTCCCTCATCGACCGCATACCCAACGTGGAGATACGACAGCGAACAAGGGTCATAGACGTCGGTATGCGGATCGCGAGCCTAAAATGGAGACGGGCAGGACACGTTGCTGGACGGGACGACGGCCGATGGACCAAGGCGGTTACTAATGGTACCCGGTAGGAGCGACCACCTACTAGATGGTCGGACGATATTGTCGGGGTGGCCGGAAGATGCAGTGTGCATAACTGACACACTGAGACACAAGTTGACAAGTCCTATGCGCCTGTAATTTCACCAGCACCCTTACCCTTAAAAACCGGGACACAGGTATGATCACATTACCGCTTGGCGGCAGAAATAGGTAAGGTAGCAGTACTTCCCTTGACGAACACTTTCGCAAGGAGGCTGTATGTATCATATTGTTTTTAACAAACAATGAAATGGCAGATGGACCCGCATGTTACCCTGGTATTACTCTTTATAATTATTATTCTAATAATATTTTCCTGTTGTTTGTTAGCAAGTTAATCAGTTAATTTATGTCTTGTGGCAAAACAGTCCCCGTTTGAGGTAAATATATTAATTATTTAGCAATGTTTTACAGCTGCCTTGTTTTCCTTTACGATATAACGATTACTATGTACTAGCGTAAGTTATGTAAGTAAGGCTGTAACAAGAAAAGGGAATAAAAACGTCCTAACAAAACACTCCCTACTTAAGTACTAAAAACGTGAAACAGGCTTACTCCGACAGGGCTGAGTTATACGAGATATTATTAGGTTAGATTGGTGTTAAAATTGACACAGGACTTGGTTTGGGAACTGGTAAAAGGAGAAATTAAGCAGAAAGTGGCGACGGAACGAAAACAAAGTGAGAATAACGGGTCAACGAAATTAGAGAACGATCTCATGGAGGGTATAAAACATGAGATAGTATTGATTGCTGATGATACTTCCATATTATTTGAAGTTAAAAGGCACCAATGTTCCTACGACGATGTAAACAATGCTATATCTAAAGTAGTTGATTGGTTTGCTATTAATAACCTGCACCTTAATGAGAAAAAAACAAATTGTGTGAAATTTACGTTACCCAATGTTAGAGAGACGGTTACAAACATTGTAGTTAGAAACGAAGATTCAATCTTGTACAATTGTATTTCTATGTATAACGTTAGACGCTAAATTACAATGGGGTCCACATATAAGTAAGTTATCAAAACGACTCAGCTCTACAGTGTACGCGATAAACAAAAATACGGAAACTTTCAGAAGTCGAAACCGCTAGACTGGTTTACTTCAGGTACTTTCACAGTGTAATGACATACGGCATTTTGCTTTAGGGTAATGCCGCCGATATCAATAGAATCTTTGTCCTGCAGAAACGTGCGGTTAGGGCAATTTACAATCTGGGCCCCAAAGTATCTTTGAGAGATAAGTTTAAGGAAATTAACATTGTTACACTAGCGTCACAGGAAATTTATGAAAATGTAGTTTATGTTAAGAGGGATAGTAATTTATTTATGAAAAATAGTGACAGACATAACATTAATACGAGGAATAAAAATAAACAAGCTGTTCTTGACAATCGTCTTCACAAAGTCACAGATTCATTTAAGGGGTAATGTATATGCTTCTATAACAAGATTCCGGTTGATATTCACGAGGCTTAAACTATAGTGAAATAAAAACCTTCTTCTCTAATTGAGAACCTCCTTTTCTAAGTCGGTTAAAAACTTAAACATGTTGACTGTTGGCAAACAACGTTGATTGACTTATTTAAAACATTTTATGAACTTTATTTGACACGTAATAACCTTTCAAAGCTTATAAAGTGATTTATAATTTTAACAA